TCTAACTCTGGAGAATTCAAGGAGTGGAGCTAACTGAGCCTACAACTGCTGCTCTACAACTTGACTTACATTCTGATCAAATTTAAGCTCAAGTGGAGTACTGTAACATACAGTACTTCGGAGGCTGTGTGTGTGTGTGCGTGCGTGCGTGCATGCGTGCGTGCGTGCACGCTCTTGTAGGGAATGGGCAATCCTCACAACTTAGCTATGTAAGACATGTCCACAGTCTCAAATTATCAATTGTGCTTCAATGAGCTTCAGTTATTGATACCTGAGGATACAGAGTTCTTTAAAAAGCAAATCCAGCCATGTGTACACACTACTCTTGCCCATCCTGACTGAGTCAGGAAAGGCTGGCTAGATTGGTCAGAGTAGGCTGACCAGATTTGTCTCTCTTCTGTGGAAAACTGTATTCTGCCCCTTTGAAGGCAACTGTAAGACCTTTTTGGGAGGAGGGGACAGAATGACCCACATGGATCTCAATTACCTGCCAGTTTCTAGGAAATGTGAGGATTGGCAACACAGATTTTGAGACTTCTGAATATTACTGATTATATTGATCAACATCATTAGGCTTTAGGACTGAAACCACTTTGATTACCTTTGCCAAGAGATGCACAAGGAAGTATGATATATCTCTGAACCTCCTTCTGGGTCACATTATGTGATTGGAAGCACTGCTTTGTGATTATTCTTCTCCTGCATCTTACGTTGGCCTCAGAACAGGGTGCTGGGGGCTTAATGCTGTATCTCATTGGGTGCTGGAAGATTCCAATTTGTCCCCTTTGTTTTGAGATATTTACATGAACTTGCTAACATAAATTTGCTTGATGTTTAGAGCAAGAGGACATCATATAACACGGTGAAAGCTATAAACAGGTGCCTGGGGTAAGTGACAGGATTGGGTAAGGGTGAATAAACAGTAGCTTAGTCTTGTTAAGATGGAAATATTCATCAGTGACATGATCTGGGAGCTGAGGGTTCCCCTAATTTGAATGGTTAGCAGTTTCAAGGAAAGAGCAAGTGTGCAGTTTGGGAATGTTTCTGAAACCTGTGTTCTGGAACCTCAACAGGTCACAGTAACGACAGCACTTGACCAACTGAAGCAGGTACATCAGCAGCAAGCACTCCTGAAAAATGGTGACCTGGCTACATGCCTGATAACCTTAAGATTAGATTAACACAATATGTTCTATGTGGGGCAGCAGCTGCATCTGGAGACTGTTCAGAATCTTCAGTGGGTTCAAGATGCAACAGCCTCATTATCAGGAGTTTCCGAGAGCACATAAAACTTGTACAAAGAGATCTACAATGGCTCCCAAACACAATTCAAAGTTCTTTAAAGCTCAACCATAAAGCTCTAATGGCTTTGGCATTTTTAGAGAGCATCATTTCAGTATGAGCCCCATACCCATACACCAAGGGGTGTATAGGCTAGATTGTCATAGGCTAGATTGAGGATGACAAGGAACATGTCCTTTTCCTGCAGCAGCATTTTTTTTTCTGAAAGACTCACCCTAGGTCAACTAGATTTTCACCAGCCTTTTAAAAGAAAACTATTCTGTTTCAGGCCTTACTGATTAATGAGGAAACTTGAATCAAATCTACCAGTCAAGTTTTTATATTTTGTTCTGCTGTCCATTTGTAGAGTGGTTTTTTTAATGCAATGATTATTAATAGTTTAAATTTATTCTGTTTCATTGTGTATGTTTTATTAAATATGTTGTTCATTCCCCAAGGGCTCTGTGCAGCTATGCTGCAGGACCTAAATGTTAAAATACCATATTTACTCAAATCTAATGCTCACTGTTTTTAGCCAAATTACGTTGCAAAAATTAAGGTGTGCATTAGATTCAATGGCACATTTACATTCACCAGCAAATACTTTTTTTGGTTTCAAGGTTCTGAAAATTGAGGTGTGCATTAGATTCAATAGCACATTAGACTCGAGGCAATACGGTAGTATTGCTGATAGTCATGTTGGCCTATTAGAGGGGGCAGGAGGGAATCCAAAGGCATAATATTTTTATTAGGATCAGCAAATCTTTTTGGTCCTAGTAAAGATACTGTGTTACAGCTGCTACATAAAATATTTCATTATCATAATATAACAAAACCTTAACAGATTTTGCAACTGTGAGGCACATTATTAGAGGTTTTAGAAGAGTTTAAATTATATTGCACAACTAATATGCTATTTTGGGCTATCTCTTGGGTTTCTGAAAGCTATAGTGCTCCAGCTGGTTGAGAGGAAGGAGAAAGGAAGAACCACTTGCACAAGTGCTGAAAGCCTGGCCTCACAGTACAACCTAACTTTTTTCAGAGATGGAAGATTTAGAAAAGTGAAGTGCAAATACGTGAACAGTGCAATCCTATACATCTCTGCTCAAAAGTAAAAACCATTGAGTGGGATTTACTTTCAGGTTAAGGTGCACAGTAACACATTTAAGGCTGCAGTCTTAAAGTGCTTTCTATGTGTGATGCAGTTTGCTGCCTGAAAGTGCTAAAACAAAAAGCACCTACTTGTTAAGAAAGAGAAATAACGAAAACAAAGTTATTAAATCAGCCGGACGGGTGGATGTACTTCCTGTAAGCTCAATTTCCCACAATTTCCTCTGAAATTGGTAATGTTGATACATGTTTGATGTAGATACAATATTTGGACAGCTACCGATCTGATGAGAGGCTCTTCCCACAAAGCCTACTTAGCCAATATCACAAAATGAATGTATACTTTTAAATTATATTTTAATGCAAATAAACAGATGTTGCCTGTATTTAGACCACTCCACTGTAAACATAATGTAAAAACTGATTTTAAAGTCTAAAAATATTTTATGTTTGTGGCAAACCTACTTTATTTACTCTTACAAGTATTCTCTATTTAAAAAAAACACAACTTTTTAAGATTCAAAGAATAACCTTTATGCAAATACTAAGCCCATTACTGGTATCAGACCATCACTTCACATCTCTAATTCATTCTGAGTGGGTGGAAGAAGAGTTTAGTCCCTGGGGCCAACAAGAATCAAGCTCTAATTAATAAAAACTTATTTGACAGATCCACTTATATTTCATGACTAACAGTGCACGATGCAAGGACAAGATTTAACTGACTATCCAAAACTTAGTGTGATAAACTGAAAACAATGTTGATCGTTATTGAGTTGGTGGAATATCTGCCCCCTAAGAATAGTAAATCACAATGCAGTTAGAATTACAAAGTGTTCATAGGATCTCTTGTTCATATTATCCTCTCAAAAAAATAAAATGATGGTATGAAAATTTTAAAACACACACACACATTTTTCTTTACATTCATTTAATACATTAGGACCTTGGATCTTAAAAACACTTATTACAAAGCAAGTGATTTGAGTAGAACTTATTCCTAAGAATACTTTAAGTCACAGTATTAACTACAGCATCTTTATAGATAGATTTTCTTTGTTTACAGACAAAAGGCAGTAAGGATCAATTCATTCATTTTGTCTTCAGTGCGAATGAAAAAGTGACACAGGAACCACTCCCTACAGCAGGGATAGCTAACCTGTGGTCTTCCAGATGCTGCTGGACAACAATTCCCATCATCCCTGACCACTGGCCATGAGGAGGCCTCCTTGCTCTACAGAAGACTATTTGTGTCAAGTTGCTCTTTCACAGTGGTAGTAGTTTTAAATAAGCTGAAACAAAGTTGCAACACAAGCAACTACCCATGGAGAAACACCACCACACTTCGCTCCATTTCAGCAGCCATTATTCTACAAATGTAACATATGCAGAGATTGAAAGTTGATTAATTCCATATTATTAATCTGGCCCTGTAATGTGCTTACTCTGATGCATAATCTGCAACATCCTACTGAATGCATGAGTTACTTAGGACTTCTACCAAAATTCAAACTGCAGGTGGGTCAAACTCCGTGCACAAATATTGCTATTCTTGAAATTAGAGAAGTTTGTGTCCATTTTTAGCTACAGTGCATAATAATGTGTGACTTTCTTTGATGACTAGCATATCACAAATTGTTGTGAAACTCCCTTCAGTTTCACAACCGGTTTGTCATGTGGACAAGTGTGGGGTAAGGGGAACCTACTTTATGATTAAAAATACATTCAAAGCCCCATTGGGATAATGGAATCAGTTTCATAATTCTCTGGACATAAATGTGTTTTAATTCCAAAGGAGTAATATTTCATTTTCTAATTTTTCAGTTACTTCAAAAGATGTATTTTCAAGAATCTGAGTAATATGAAAGTACAAAACAGTCAAAAACTTTAACATAGATCTTTTAATATACTGATAAATACAAATTTGTTTTCACAAAATGAGTTAGGATTAGAAACCATGATTGAGAAATTCAGTGAATAATTCCTAAATGAGCAGAATGGCATTTCTTAAAACGAGTAAAATATTTGCAGAGGAAAAACTGTCAAGGAAGTATGAAACTACTATTAAATTTGAAAGCATAACTAGGGAATTATTGGAATAGATAGATTAGCTTGGATCTGAAAGACCTTGCCATGTGACTGAAATGCATAGGGGCATGCCAATCCCACCCCACCCCCCAGCTATACTCCCCCCCCCTTTTCCTCTACTGCCCAAAAAATTGCTCTGTAGGTTCCCCCTTCCTTGGCAGAGTTTCCAGCAGACACGGGGATTGTAGATGTGGAAGATGTGGGTTCATATACAACCACTCTCACTGTGTGAGTAGAAGACCCATTCCCTCACATAGGAATCTAAAGCCAATCATGTGCAATTATTTTTGCCAAGTGAAAATTGGGAGAAATCTAGCCAAAAAAATTGTTACCCATGAACTAGTTTTAGATTCTACTGAAGAATATATAAGCAAACAATGAAAATAGTGTTGTCAGTAGCTGTGCACAAGATGAACTTGCTGTGGCTGAAGGAGCCTTGAGTACCCTGTAGAAAGCTGGTAAATTTCAGCTACAGTATGCTTTGAGAGGACTAATACATGCTGATATGTAAACTTACTTACCTCACCACTAACCACTTAAAATCGTGTCCCTGTCTGTTTCAATACATTCAATGTGAATCTGGAAAATGAAAGATCACAAAAAAAGATTTCTGTTTCAATACATTCAATGTGAATCTGGAAAATGAAAGATCACAAAAAAAGAATCTAAAATTTCCTCTTCACATTTATTTATATATACAAATAATCTTAGTTCCTGATTCAGGAAGCTGCCTTGTGTGGCTGGAGCAGGTCCAGTTTTCCTGTTTCCACTAAATACATGGAGAAGATAAAACTAATTTAAAGGGACCCTGATTAACTTAACATAGTACTCAAGTACAAGATTTGCACAATGTAACATTTATCACCCAGCTAAAGAATTAGAAAATGATATTCCATTAACTGTACGGAATAGAATAGTACCATCATCTTTATTACGGCCAAAGACCAGCATAGGTTAAAATAGGAACACACAGTAATTTAGGAAATAAAATGGGTAAAATGAGTGACTCAAAGAAGGGGGGATGCATGAGGGAGACTTAAAATCAGCTAGAGAGTTAAGAGCAAGAAGTTGCAAATGTAACTATAGAAGGAGGGTGCAAGAGAGGGCACGGGTCTTGAGTTTAGGTCTGGTACATGACCCAAACCATTCTTCGGTGAATGTCCATCATAGCAGTGCAAAACCTGGCAGCTGAGTATGTTACGTCTGGGTTTGCATCTTGAAGTAGCAAGGAGGTATAGCATTGCTCTGTCTGTGCAGAGAATTGGTGCAGAATTTGCAGGATGAACCTGACACATCTGCATAATATTGGCAGTGGAAGAAGACATGTTCAATAGTTTCTAGCTGCCCTGAGACACGGGGCATTTCCCCTCCTCGTACGGTACCTTCCTAAAAGGGCCTTCCTGGATAGCTGAGGGGAAGGCCTGACATCGACCAAAGTGAAGGCCCTTTGCTGTTTTGGTATTTCTAAGTTGGTTATATATGGCATGTGGGAATTAAGGTATTTTTTGGTTTAGTATTATAACTACTTAAGTTCTGAGCCTGCTATGCTGTTCCTATTTAGAATTCAATCTAAAAGATATTAAAGTTCTCCATTATACAAACACTTATGCATCGAGCCTTTGCTATCAGAACCATAGCAAGAGTTCATAATTTAAATTCACACACTTCTAATGAGGGGTTTAGAAGAGAAAACCCAACATTTTCTCTTCTTTTCATCACCAGTTTATATTTCAATTAGAAATATTTCCCCAAATGGCAATTTCAGAAAATTCTACATAATGATGCTTACTTTTGCAGAGAAATACACAGAAGGCAGGAATGAATAAGAACATGTACCATTTCTTTTTTAAAAAATGCAGAGAAGACTACTTCTCTCCCCCCTTCCCAGGGGCTGCTTTATGTCAAACATCTCCTTTAATATACAGAACGAATAGTGGATGTAAACTTAAGTTTAAAAGCAGTTTAATACATAGAATTAAGATGGGGTCATCTGAGGATAATTGCTGGTTACTTTCTAGTGACTGCTGTACTATTATTTAGTTTGTCTTAATCTTTGTCCAAATATACAGTGCACCAACTATTGTGTATAAAGAATTGCTCATCTTAAATTTTTATGTACTTTTAAGTCTCATATACGCAAATGACTGTTATAAGATCAGGAGAATACCACTCCTATGTTATAACTCTTGTTCACAATGTTTATGTAACCATACACTCTGTTATGTAAATATTACCTCACTGATTACTGCACATATAACTATTCCAGTCATTCAATGGCTGCACTGTAGTAAGAATGCAAAGGTTCCCATCTTATTTTACCATACTGACTCTATGCTCTCTTTATCTTCCTTCTACCTTAGAGGCTCAGGTAGAGGAGAGAAGGGTGTATTCTATGCCTAATGAGCAAAGGTGCCTCCGGCAAGGTAGTACTGAGAAATTATACAATACACTGGATGCCCCAACAAACCAGGCAGATAGAACTGCCTCCTTTGTGTGCAGGGGTTCCAAAATAAGAGGAATAAAGATGGCACATCCCATATCACTTATACACTTAAGGCCACATATATCAGGATCAACTCCTAGCTTAAAAGGAAACTCCAATTCTCACTTTTCTTACAAAACAAAAATGATCACAATCATTACTAGAGCTCCTAGGAGACTGAGCACCCAAATTTTAGTAATGTTTGCTCCTGGTGTTGGAGCATATTCCCAACATAAATTATACTTGCTTCTCGATTTTAGCCAAAATTTATAGAATCGAAGAGGCACCAAATAAATCTCAATTAAAATACAAACATTTAAAAAGCATACCATGAAGCATTGAACTGTGTTACAGCAAAGCTTTTCAAAATAGCAACTGTATTCAGATAAGAGTTAGGAAATGTTTTGCTCTGAAAAAAAAGCAATGGGAAGGGAATATATTTATCCTTTACATAAATAATAAAGAATATATCCACAATTGTTCACAATGATGCTGTAATATGAATGCTAAGGAAAAAAACATCCCTCGTGCATAAGTAGTTTCAGGATGGAATATATTTAATATTGTAAAACAAAAATACAAATTTTCATGATCAGCTGAATCTTGAAAATATTCAGAAATACTCAGAGTTAAGGGAGTTTCTTAAAGGTGAAATATCGAAGGCACAAATGCAAAAGTAGCCTTTTCAACTGTTTTGATTGTAGAGCAAGCACCTTCCAAGCATAATCACAGTATGTGATAAACCACATATGACATATTCCAGAAGGCAAACATTAATTACAAAAAAGTAAAAAAAGTTGTATCCCACAAAGGTATGTCTTGGCTCCACTGCAGTTCAACAACTCCTTAAATAATTTGAAAACCTGAGTGAGAAACACGCTCAGTTTGCAAATCATATGTGGATCCACAAGCAGCATAAAGAAAAAAGTTATCCTTACTTAGGGTGGTATTCAACTAAGCTTTACGAAGAGCAGACCCAGTGAAATTAATAAACTTCAAGTATGTAAGTAAGGTTTAAGGTTGTTACAAAATAGGCAAATAATAAGATTGCATTAACAAATATACTGTATGCAAGACACAATGGTGGTAACAGTCCTGATCAGTTGAAATAAGGCCACAGCTACAGTCTGATATTTACTTTGATAAAACTGACAAACATCAGTTGAACCAACAAACCTAGTTTTGGACTTCAGGTGTGTATGGGTGTGCTACATGATGGAAAAAATGCCTACACACAGGTGGGGGGACCTATGATGTCAGGAGAAAGCTATGGTAGACCCTTTTCCCCTCCCATGTAGCTTTCCATATGGAAGGTGACAGATAAAGAGAAATTTTCTATAATTGGTGTCTTTACTACTTCAACACTTACAGGAAATTTTAAAAGATTAGTACCAGGAAAAGGAGAGGCTAATGATTATGTAATTAAGTTCAACAAGTAGCACAGATTAAGATCTTCAGGCTCCCAGACCCAAAGGTAACCAAAAACGATTTTCACCTTGTGTACAAAAAGGCTAAGGTTACAGAAATTCAAAAGTGACAAATTCGCTCCACTTCCCAGTGGGGAGAAGTTGCGGTGGACCGTGTGGCCACCCACTTCTCACCGGGGGCGGGGGACTTTGTTCCCCATTGCCTGGGGGTTCCCGGCCACATCAGAGTCCAGCCAGCCAATCCACTGGCCGGGGGGGCGTGACCGGGACAGTTTAAACCAAGGAGCAAGCCAGAGGACGTCCTCTTTGGCTCTCTTCCTCAATTCAAAAGTGACCAATACATCCACTGGAACAATCCAGCTGCCTCTTTTACAGAATACAGCGGTACCTCGGGTTAAGAACTTAATTCATTCTGGAGGCCTGTTCTTAACCTGAACTGTTCTTAACCTGAAGCACCACTTTAGCTAATGGGGCCTCATGCTGCTGCTGCGCCGCCGCTGCACGATTTCTGTTCTCTTCCTGAAGCAAAGTTCTTAACCTGAGGTACTATTTCTGGGTTAGCGGAGTCTGCAACCTGAAGCGTATGTAACCTGAAGCATATGTAACTCCCGAGGTACCTCTGGGAGTTGGGAAGGGAATGGGACATAAGTTGTTCTCACACTGGAAACTCAATGTTCAATTCAGTTTAAGGAACTAATGGATGAGATCCCATGGTCAGAAATACTCAAAAGAGAAGGGGGTTTCTTAAAGGTGAAATATTGAAAGCACAAATGCAGATAATTCCAACAAGAAAGAAAAGTGGGAGGCATCTGAAGAAACCACTATATCTGCATAAGGAATTTACAGATGAGCTGAGATGTAAGAAGGGCCTGTATAAGAAATAAGAAAGCTGAAATCATGAAGTAGCCAGCAGTGGCAGGGAGAAGGTGAGGCATAATGAGCTCAGGCTTGCATGAGAGGTTAAAAACAAGAATAAAAGGTTTTTTTCGGCTATGTTCAAAACAAGGGGAAGAGCAAGCAAGCAGTAGGTACTCTGTGTGGAGAAGATGTAAAAGTATAGAAGACGTAGTGTCCAGATCAAGGAAAGTCCTAGTACTGCTCTATTCTGCTTTGGTTAGACCACACCTGGAGTACTGTGCCCAGCTCTGGATGCCACAATTTAAGGAGGATATTGACAAGCTGGAACATGTGCAGAGGAGGGCAACCAAGGGTCTGGAAGCCAAACCTTATGAGGGAGTTGAGTATGTTCAGTCTTGAAAGGAGGAGACTGATAGGAGATATGATAGCCATCTTCAAATATCTAAAGGGCTGCCACATGGAAGATTGAGCAAGCTCTTCTTCTGCTCCAGGGGGTAGGACCCGAACCAATGGCTTCAAGTTACAATAAAGGAGATTCTGACTAAACATTGGGAATAACTTTCTGACAGTAAGATCTGTTCGACAATGGAACAGACTGCCTCAGAAGGTGGTGGACTCTCTTCTGTCATTGATACTTTAGTTGAGATTCCTGCATTGCAGGTTGTTAGTCTGGATGACTCTCAAGATCCGCTCCAGCTCTACAATTCTGTGAGTTTATTATTCATTTTATTGCAGTGATTTTACAGTTATAGTAACCCTAACTGGTATAATAAAAGTTTCAGACAAAAAAGTAATAAAGCTAGTCCCTCCCACTGCAGCAATGTCCCTGTTATTTTATGGACTTTCCCTTAAAGGCTGTGCATCTCCCTCTTAATCAGTGAAATAGAATAAATCCCCCACCTCTCACAAATGAAAAAAGAAAAAGATCTTTTGATAACGTAAGTGAAAGTTATAAACCTCAGTTTAAGACAAGAGGGAAAAGCAATACTGTCACAGCAGAAGGCCATCTCTACCCCGCCCCAATCTGTACTCCATTAGTGCTAAGATTGTGTCTTGAGGAATGCAGACATTTAGATTCGGCTCCCCACCTTTTCATAGAATCATAGACTGGCAGAGTTGGAAGATATTCCCAAGGGTCATTTAGTCCAACCCCCTGCAATGTAGGAATCTTTTTGGCCAGCACGCGGCTTAAGCCCACGACCTCAAGATTAAGAGTATCACACTCTACCAACTGAGGTATCCACAGTCTCAGTGGTCAGTCATATCCCTGCTAATCTGAGTAGACATGGATACATACAGCTCTGGCTGTTAGCACCCAATGCTACACATGCAAACAGCTAGATCAGGGCCAAATCAGGTGAATAAAGTGGTAGCGCTACTTTCCTCAGTAAAGAGCACAGGCAAATTGTTGGGGAAATTAAGAGAACAGAAACACAGGGCCCCAGAGAATTCAACAGAAAGCACATACGGTAGTTCCCTTCATACTGATTGCAGTGATTTCTTCCCCTTGCAACTCCATGTAAAATGGCAAAACTTCCACTGACACAAAATTGTTCATTTAAAATTCTCAAGCATTAGGGTTAATATTGTTACTGAAAAATAGCTACTTGTATATTTTCCATACACTAGATATAGACTTTTCCAAACAATGTGAACTGAAATATTTCAGGATTCCCTAGTCCCAATGAAAAATTCTCATCTTTTGAAGGGACAGGCTCACAAGTCATTCACTAGACAAGTAATGAATATATTTGTCCTGTTGTATAAAAAGTACTTTTTGAATACTAAAAGTACACCATAAATTTATTTTACTTTACTTGTTACATTTTATCCAGTCCCATCTCTGATGTTTGGAGGCAATGTACACTATGCTTGCTCTCTCTGTATGATCCTCACAACACCTTGCAAGAGTGTAGCTGGGGACTTGAACCCTGGTCATTCTAACTTCTAAACCAGAAACAGCCAACACAGTGGCCTCCACATGATGCTGGACTACAACTCCCACTATCCTTGCCATTGGCCATGCTAGCTGGAGCTGACAGGATTTGGAGTACCGTATTTTGCGCCCCATAGGACGCACCGCCCCATAAGACGCACCTAGGTTTTTTGGGGGGGAATAAAGGGGGGAATTATTTCCCCCCCAGGCATGGGGCTGGCGCGGGGGAAGCCCGAGCTTCCCCCGACCCAAGCCCCCAGAACAGGCTGCTGCCTGCAAGCCTTGCGAGCCCGGTGGGACCTCCCGCTGGGCGCGGGAGGCTTGCGGACACCTTCCCGAAGCATGGGGCGTCCTCTGGAGGGCGCCCCGTGCTCCGGGCTGCAGGCTGCTGCCCGCAAGCCTTGCGAGCCCGCGGGAACTCCCCCGGGCTCGCAAGGCTTGCGGATAGCTTCCTGAAGCCTGGAGAGCGAGAGGGGTCGGTGCGCACCGATGCCCCTCGCTCTCCAGGCTTCAGCGAAAGCCTGCATTCGCCCCATAGGACGCACACACATTTCCCCTTCATTTTTGGAGGGGAAAAAGTGTGTCCTATAGGGCGAAAAATACGGTATATCTAACAAAATGTGGAAGGTTCCGTGTTGACTATCCCTGCACTACATTATGCTGGAGGCAGTTTGCTTCTAAATACTGTACTGTACTGTACTGTGTTTGAAACCACAGGAATTGAGAGTGGTGTTGCGCTCAGGTCCTGTTTACAGGTTTCCATGGCATGTGGTTGGCCACTGCAAGAATAGGACGCTGGACCAGAACAGGTAATTGGCCTGTCCCAGCAAAGCTCTCCTTATGTGCCATGGTCTATTATGATTATGATCCTCTGCATGTGTGTGTTTTAAAACTCTGCTACCATTCCTGAAGGATGCAAGAACAGGAATACTAGAAGTTGCCTTATTCTGAGACAAACCACTGGCCCATCTAGCTCACAAGTGTCTACCATGACTGGCAATGATTCTCAGGCAGGAGACTTCCCCACCAAAAGGAGCCAACTCCTGGGGGCCAGGGTCCTTTCACCTTCCCCAAACAAAATATTTGAGGGTGCTAGCACCCCCCAGTTGATGGGCAAACGTTGTGGTGCACCCCATCTATTATGCAGGGCAGTGTTTACCTGCCCCCCCAAAAAAAATTATTCAGGCTGGCAGCCCTGTTCCCAACCCGATCTGGAGATGCTGGCCAAAGCAGATGCAGTACTACTGCGTTACGACCCTTCCCCTTGAGTTTCCAGGTACAGCAGGTAGGTCACTGTCGGCCCTAAAACAGCCGACGCCCATGACCGGTCCTGCTGACTTTTGGGGAGGGCGCCATCCTACCTAGTGGTTCCACCTCTTCCCCTCCCCGCACCTTGTCATAGTACCACAGAACCCGAAAATTAAGACCCTGCGGCGCGCGTGCTGGCACACGCATACACACGTATGTAAGCCTAACCCGCGCTGACCCGACCCCGGCGGCAATTTTGCCGGCTCTAGAAATGCAGCCACTTCTGGGGAGGGTCCCTGCGGAGTTCGCAGCCTCCTGGAAGCCCCGCCCCCTCTGGACCCCGAGGTCACAATCTGCAGGCGCTCGCGCAAACAACCAAGACCGCGGAACGGCTGTGTGTCGCGTGCGCGCGCGCTCGCTGGAAAAACGTCGCCCCCTGCTTCACTACCCCCCCCCGCCCAACCGCGACCCTTCGCCTCAAGCCTGCGCTGCCACCGCCGTCATGTGGGGGGTGGGGAGAACGGAAAAGATGGGAAGGAGGGAAAAAATAATTTCTCTCAAATATATAGAGTTACACACATTACGCCCTCTCCTCCCCTTCGTCAGCTGAACCCCGCCGCGCACCCGAAGTCCGCCCCTCACTCACCCTCTCTGGACGCTACAGCCGCGGACATGTCCTCTCGCGAGCTTTGGCGGCGAGAGTTTACAGAAGTCGAGTGAGAGGAGAAGGAGGAGGTGGGGGGGTGAGAGCACCGTGTGCGAGAGAGGCGGTGGGGGGGTGCGTTGGTGGGCGTGGCGGGGAGACCCAGCGCGCTCGGCTGATTGGGCGTTGGTTCAGCGCAGAAGCGCCAAGCGGGCAAAGGTGTTTGCGGAGGGGAAGGCACGCGACGCTCCCTCGCGCTAAAACCGTTGGCTTTCCTCGGGGAGAGGGGGGTGGGGAGAGAGCTGCCCTTGGCGCCACCTCTTCCATCCGGGTGTTTTCCCACCTTTTTTCATCCCCCCCACCCTTTCCACCTCCTGCTTCTTTTGTAACTTTCTGAGGCGAGTTGGCACAAGTTGCGCGAAGTTGCCAGTAATGCCAGCCGGAGCCACCTCACACTTGGGAAGCTTCTTTAAAGCGTTTCCCTCCTACCTCACGAAACAAAAATGCGTATAAACGAAATGTTTAGGAGCGTGCGAGGAAAGGCTTGCGGCACCTTTAAATGGCACACGCTGCAACCCCTAACCCCGTTTACCTGGGAGAGAGCAGCATTGAATTTAATAGGATGTACAATAAAGGGAGGAAATGTAACGAACAAACAAACAAGGGTTCCCAGCCTTTACCTCATAACTTTCTCATAAGACTACACAGTGAATTCGATGTTAAAGGGGGGGGGACTTTTTATTTCATATTTCTTAACTGGATTGTTATTTTAACTTCATAATAAAAGTTTTGAAAACTTAAAAAACTAACAGAATTTCCTTTTCACCAGACCTGGTTAGGATTGCGTTTTAAGAGATTTGGCTGTGTAGCCAACAGTCCTACCAGGAGTAGACCCACTGAAATTAATGGGCTGTGTCCATTAATTTCAATGGGTCTCCTCTGAGTAGGGCTGGCATTGAATCTTGCCTGTTGCGGCAGATGCTCTGGTGGCCTCAGGACCTTGCTTCAGGGCAGAAAAATAGATGCCGCAAATCTTTCAAAAGTGCTACAAACCTGCCCATGCTCAGGGTCACATACTGCAAATTAGTTGCCTCCTCTTTCCCCTTCCTGTTTTAATCCACAGTCAGTGCAGTTAAAGGTGAAATTTTCCTCCAGTCTTCATATTTTCATAAATCTATGTGGTTAGAACACTTTCAAGCAGCAAAATTTTCCTATTGTTAACCAGCACTGAGCCAGGAAATGCTGTGCCTAATGAATTCCTTCCTGTCACACAGATGTTACAAAGGTGTTTGAGACCTTGCCAGAGATTAGTGGCTGTCTTAGCTGTGATAGCGACTGTACAAAACTAAGGGTTGTTTGATTGTTAATTTTTAAAAGCATAGTGGTCAAGGGTCTGCTATTATTTACTTACATTTATATCCTGTATTTCTTTTGTCATGGAATCCAAAGGAGTGTCTTGTAAATGTTGGGCACTTTATTTTTAAAATCAAATAGCCATTTCACTTGGCTACAAATACATATGTTAATTTGAGTTGGTTATTTGCTTAGCTCCAATACCCAGCCTATATCCTCCATTTCTTACCTTTCCTGTCACAAAAGTTGGATGCCCCCACCCCCCCTCTTTGCAATATTCCAGGCAGTTCCAGGCACTAACACAGGGTCTATGTTCTCTTGGAAAATTTAACGCATGGCAGAAACTGTTATAGCTTTAAGAAATATTATTTATTCACATATTTACACCTACAGTCCACATGGAGAGAGTCCAGATCTTACATGTTCATTTCAAGAGGAGTTTGTTCCCCACAGCAGTGCAGCACTGGAGTCAAAGGCGTCTCTCCCAGCCAGTCTGCCCAAGATCAATCGCTCCCTTTTTTCTCCCCCTTGTTCCCAGCACACCTTGCTAAAGACACTCTTTTCCTGTTTCTTCACACTCAGTTACTCTGGCAGTCTGCCCAGGCCCAAGATTGCTCTCAGGTGGGCCATCAACACCTTTTGTCATGTTAATGCCTCTATCCCAGGTGGAAAGCAAGCTTAGCCTGTATTTTGCCCACTCGCCTGCAATCTTCCCTTCAGTACTGCAAATAATAAAAATCCTACCATTTTTAAATTTCTATGGTTTAAGAACCCTCTATAACAGTATTTACTGCATTTTAAACACCTGCCCACTCCTCCACAGAGCTGGGGTTCTTCCCCTTTGATTTTTTTTATTTTTAGGTTGGTTAGGCTAAGAGATCGTGAACTTCTTTTGGTTACCAGCAATGAAACCCCACCCATGTTTGTTCAGAGGTAAATCCTATTGAGATGGATGCAATAATAGTGGATTTATTCTGCTTTAGGTTTTTCTACAGTGTTTCCCCAGTGCTACCACATTATTATTATCTGGAGGGACAGCAGCATAGCACAAGCAAGTCTAAAAATAAAATATGTGATACGGAATATGCAGTGATTGGAAATGAAACAGAGTCACCACCCCAAATGTTTACAAGCTCAAACAATATTGAAAGTGGGGTTGCGTGTTACTTCCCCAAAAGCATGATGAGCATAAATCACAATGAATACACAATAAAAAGGACGTCTGGAAGGGATCTTAGCTACTAGGTTACAAAGCATTTTGTTACAGATCCCCACTTGTACATCTGTTTCAGACCAAAGAACCCCCAAAGTGGTGTGTTCCTGATGGAAAAGGCAGTTGAATTTAGCATTAGTTATGCTGACAAACTATGTGCAAGAGCTTGAAGAAAATGTCCAGAGGAAAGCAGCCAGATTAGTTTAGCATTTCTGTAAACAAAAGTATTACCATTGAGTCTCCTTTAAGTCCTTAACAATTGTGTTTTTCCAAAAATAATCATAAGAAAATAACCTGACTTTATTGCAGAACTAAACGGGCTTCTCAAAAGAAAGCATGGAGCCAGTTTCCAGTTTCCAAAACCAAAATCAAGATAAAAGGTGTATTATTAGATCTCAGAAAAATAAACCATACATATGGAATGGGGAAATGTTCCATGAGTGTTTTACCCTGGAGTATATCTAATTAGGCAATCCCATTTTCTAATCCTTGCCAAAGATGGTATAGCATACTGGTCCTTTTGTTTCTTTTTACAGTGGTACCCCGCAAGACGAACGCCTCGCGAGACGAAAAACTCGCAAAACGAAAGGTTTTTTCGTTTTCGAGTTGCCTCGCAAGACGAATTTCCCTATGGGCTTGCTTCGCAAAACGAAGCTTGCCCCGGGGACAGCGGGTCTTCTCTTTTGAAGCAAGGGGCGGCGGGGAGATCGCTTCTCCCCACCGCCCCTTGCTTCAAAAGAGGTCTGCCCCCGGACCTCTTTTGAAGCAAGGGGCTGCGGGGAGATCGCTTCTCCCGGTGCTCCGAAGCGGGGTGGGGGGGCGGGAACACCTGCCCCAGCCGCCGGGCTTCGTAGCGCTGCTGCGAAGCCGGGCGGGGGGGCGGGAACACCTGCCCCAGCCACCCCGCTTCGGAACGCTGCTCCGAAGCAGGGTGGGGGGGCGGGAACACCTGCCCCAGCCGCCGGGCTTCGTAGCGCTGCTGCGAAGCCGGGCGGGGGGGGGGAAGTCTTTGTCCCCCCTGCCTGCCTTCCCAGGGGCTTTTAAATCGCCCCGGACAGTGGAGAAGTCCTCCGCTGTCCCGGGGCGCTTTTAAAATGCGGCCCGCCAGCATTTTAAGATCGCCCGGACAGCGGAGAAGTCCTCCGCTGTCCCAGGGTTTTTTAAAATGCTGGGGGTGGGAAGAAAAGCCCTTGTCCCCCCCCCCCAGCCTTCAGAAGAGGTCCGGGGACAGTCTGTCCCTGGACCTGGTCTGAAGGCGGTTTCCCTAGGAACGCATTAATTGGTTTTCAATGCATTCCTATGGGAAACCGTGCATCGCAAGACGAAAAAACCGCAAGACGAAGAGACTTGCGGAACGAATTAATTTCGTCTTGCGAGGCACCACTGTATTCACAAATACTACCCCAAAAAAGTTGGGTGGGAGGAGATGCATACATTTAAAGCACATAAAGAAAAGCACTAGATAAAAGTGTGGCACTGATAATACTACTAATGGATATCCTGTGTTTCTGGTTGCTGGGCAGCCAACTTGAGAGTCCATGAGGTTTTAAGTGCTCCTGATCCTGAATATATTATTTTCTATATAACTTCTCCCTGCACTGAAGAAGTTTATAGGAGATTTTAAATGTAATCAGAAACATTGGAACCTGCACTCAGTTTCATAATGGGCTGGGCTAGTTTGGAACCTAATTGTCACAGTGACCATGTAAACATACACTACCCTCAAATCCAGAGCTGCAACTGCCACTTTTTGAATCAATACAAGTTTGGTAGCTCAGGGTCCAATGGTGGGTAAGCAGGCAAGGTTGACTTCCCACCCTCATAATTTATACTGAAAGCTCCTTTGGGACAGAGAGATCTTTTTTTATTTTTGTTTACAGAAGTCTCTTAAACTCTGTAAATGTGTGTTGATGGTGCTGAATAAGAATAATAAATGAGGAGCTGGATATTGCACCTCACAGTAGGAAGCATGGGTACATGGAAGCAAAGACATCACTTTGGACATTCTGCAAAAGAGTAGGAATCCATCCAGATCAGGAGAGAGAGACTGGCTAGCTTAGCACTGTCTTTGGGCATCCCAGTAGGGCCAAAATCTACTCTCAATTTTTTTGATACAGGTGGTCTGTTTTCCCTTCATGTCTGTGGCTGGGTGGTCAACACTTTGAGCAGTCTTTCAAGTTCCATGATTTGTAAGCAGCAATGAGTTCAGTTGCAGCCATACTGGAACTGAAGTTGATGCAACAGGGACCAACTAGCAAGAACTTGAAAGGATGTCTGCCTGCAGTCAAGTTCAAAAAGTCAATGAGCAAGTTCAGAACCTCCAGCCTGCTTCACAATTTGTCAAACCAGCTCAGAACTTCATTGTCATAGCAACCATGAAAAGATTACATGATCATAGTGACCATGGAAAGTTTTCCTGGGTTCTAGAGCTGCAATTACCACTTTCTGAATCAATTACAAAATTATTGTTACAAAAGCCCAGTGCCAGTACCTCTCTCTGCCAAGCCATGGCAAGAGCACATGGGATCTCAGACGCTCACACAGGGTCTGTGTTCCTTTGGAGAACAGAAGACACAATGGAGGCTGTCATGCTTTAAGAAATAGGATTTACTCATCTATTTACACCCTCAGTCTGCATGGAGAGAGTCCAAATCTTACAGCATGGCCCAAAGCATTAATCAAAACCCTGGCAGTTACTAATTTGTAGGCTTTACTCCAAATCTCTAACAATATGTATGCTAGCTCTCACAGGGTCCATTAGGCAAGTGTCCTGAACCCCTAGCCTACCTGGAAGCAAGTCAGTATGTCAAGTCCCCAGTCCAGGGTTAATCCACATGTCCAAACCGAAGCAGTCCAACAGAGATCCTGAAGCATCAAAGCCAAGAGCCATCAACATGCTGCCTTTTTTATACCTTGCATGCTGATTCCAGCATCTGGGCTTGATGGGGCATGTGACCCTCACCTGTTCCAAGCCCAGTGGAATCACACACTTCCTCCCAGAGCAAGCAAGCCCCACCTGGCCAGCTAGGGAGCTGGGCTGTGGGCCATTGCCTGCCTTAGTCTCCTGGAGCACCACTTCTGCTGCTCCCTATGCCTTAGAGCCCGCTGCGTTCATGGGGACAGTGGTCCCCCTGGCTCTAGTGATGGGTCCTGTGGCACTGGGTCCTGTGCACTGGCCCCCATCCCCTCATCATCCTCCATCACCCTATGAGTACTTCCTACTACACCAACGTCTTCTTCCCCATCTCCAGCTTGCCCGGTGTGTCCCAGTCCCAGCTACACCTCTCGCTAGGATCCTCTTCCTCCTTCCTGCCAGTTCATGACAACAAGGTTGCCACCTGGAGTAGACAAGACGCTGGGGACCAATATTAGTGGCCAGGGAAAGCCTGTGTCTCCTGTTTATTTAAAGTGTTTAATCATGTGCTTTAGCTGAAAACATTTTCCAGAGTGGCTTGCAAATGTAACCGATCAGCAGTCACTGACCTCCCACTTACAATTTAAAAGACACAGCACGGAAGGAAAAGAGTTTGGGAAGGAGGAAGAAACAACAAAAGCAAACTCTTCACTGTTTCTAATTACTCCAGGAGTAACCCTCCAGATGTTGGACTATAGCCCCTGCATGGCCAATGGTCACGGTATGATGGGAGTTGTAGTCCAGAACATTTGGAGGGCACCACATTAGATATCTCAGAATAAATAGACATCAGACAGGGCTGGATATTTGCTTCAAACACAGCTTTAGAGATTCCACAAATAAGAAGAGGGAGAGGCAACAAAGTATTGCTGTGTGAAATGCTGCTGTTTAGAATCCCATCCGTTCCACCAACAACCACCACTCATTTTCTACACAAAATAGTCAGCATTCTGGGTCCACTGAGCAAACTCAATCTTCATCATGCTGTTTTTGGTGCACCTCCCACTCCTATTTTTTAATATTTCTGAAAGTCTTGGAGTTCCACCAACCCTACTGATACCTCCGCTCATGTGTATGTGTGTGGTACTCTTGGCTACACAAGGAGCGGCGCTCACAGCCTGAACATTGGAAATAGAAGGAATGATATCAAAAGAAAAATGTTCTCTGGTTATAGGGATGGGGGAGAAATTCTATTCAGTTCACATCGGAAGGCAAACTTGTCTAATTCTGCACTTCTAATTCTGAAACTATATGCAAACAGAGACAAAACTGTCATTTGAAATTAGCTTACCGGTATTAGAATTTTGCAACGCGGTTCTCCAGCCAAGTAATATGTATGAAAACGCACATGCTAGGGTAAAATGTGCATATAGGTAAAGGTAAAGGTACCCCTGCCCATACGGGCCAGTCTTGACAGACTCTAGGGTTGTGCGCCCATCTCACTCAAGAGGCCAGGGGCCAGCGCTGTCCGGAGACACTTCCGGGTCACGTGGCCAGCGTGACATCGCTGCTCTGGCGAGCCAGAGCCGCACACGGAAACGCCGTTTACCTTCCCGCTAGTAAGCGGTCCCTATTTATCTACTTGCACCCGGAGGTGCTTTCGAACTGCTAGGTTGGCAGGCGCTGGGACCGAGCAACGGGAGCGCACCCCGCCGCGGGGATTCGAACCGCCGACCTTTTGATCGGCAAGCCCTAGGCGCTGAGGCTTTTACCCACAGCGCCACCCGCGTCCCTAAATGTGCATATAAAGGCACACATTAGCAACAATAACATACAAAAATGCATGTTAGGTTGAAATGCTTTGCAAAAAATGTGTATATTAGACAAAATCGCATATAAAAATGTATACAGTATATAGTAGGATACATTCACACAAAAAGGCTGAAGAATTTTAATGGGAACTTGAAAACAAACATTGCAAACTGGTATGGAAACATGGGCATAACCAGAATTTTTGTTGGGGGCAGGCCTTTTGTTGGGGGGGGGAGAGAACCTCAGGTTGCTATGTATTTTAATTGATTTTTATTGATTATGAGGGACAGCTGCCCCCCTTGGCTACACCCATGTATGGAAATGTAGGGATCTAAACGTAGGACTGGGAAAATGAGAAACTGAATAAACCAAAATGCATGAGATTCTTCCATGCCAACTGATTAATGTTAGGAGGTGCTCCAAATAAATCTAAATCAATCAATAAATACTTGTAAAAGAAAGTATAGAGAGTGATATCCAATGATGTGTGACTGGATTTCCCTTCTCTCTTCTATCCTCTGCAGCCCCCCAAATTGTTCTGCAGGGTCCCCAACCCAGCCTTTGCAGCAGATTTGGTCAGCTGCAGGGAAGAGCAATCCCATTGGACTAGCAGAAATCCATGCAGAACTGAGTATCACTCAGGGTCACTAGAACATGATAATAATGGAAATACATTTTATAACAGCCAGGATACCAGGGAAAAAGAAGTTCAAATACTTTGAGGTTTAGTTTACTTTAAGTACAACTCTGGTGCCAAACTTTTTTTTTTAAAATGAACAGCTTTTATATCTTCTTTCTCAGCTGAATTGAAAGGCTTTGCATGGAGGCTTTAGCAAAACGAAGAGAACACTCAGTCCTAGCAACAAAATGAAAAACAGAACAAGCATCCTAAGAGAAAACTAAGCCCAGTTTACCCCTCGGATATACAGCTCTAACATTTTTTAGCTGTCACTTCTCTAGTGGTGCTATAGTACTCCCCCCCCCTTGTGTTTTTCCCCCCATGTGGCATCTTATCCAGAGTGAATTCAATCCAGTTTGCTGTCTAGATGAACTTGGACTGCAATTGTTTTCATAGTGACCAATCAGGATGTTGGTAACTGGCCCGGTCTGGATTTCACTGTTAGACACGACAGGTTGACATTGTTCAGAAGAGATGAGTTATGAAGCTTTTATCACATCTTTTTAGCTTGCCATCTGCTATTAATAGCAAAGATGTTTTCCCTGTTCTAACTCCACAAAGATTATAAAGTAACCACTCACTTGGGAGGCATTTTTCAATCTATTTAATATATGAACAGAAAGTGTTATTGGCACATTTTTTTAACCAGCTCAACATAGTTAGAAGGAGGAACACAAGCGATTGCAGCAACTGGCCATCAGCAGTCTATGAATATAAAATAATCTCATCCAATGCACAGTCCTATAAGTATATAAATTCAGAGTGGGGCTGCAAGTCTGCTTCTAGTTAGAGTAAGGCTAAGTTACACAGTTACTGCATCAGGACTCCCAGTTGGACATACTTGCAAGTACTGTACATAGGAACACCAGAAGCGGTCTTCTACAAAGTCAGACCATTAGTCCATCTAACTCAATCTTGTCTACACTGACTGGCAGCAGCTCTCCAGGGTTTCAAGCAGGGAGTCTTTCCCAGCCCTATAGGGAGATGCTGAGAACTGCACCTGGGACCTTCTGTATTCAAAGCAGATACTCTACTACTGAGTGACGACCTTTCCCTAAAATAGTTGTGTACACGAGGAGATATTGGCACTATGGGGCTGAGCAGCTTCTGACTGCCATCTTGAATTTGTCCCCAATACCCCAGAAATAGGGACATCCTAAGTAAAAGCAGGACATTCCAGGATCAAATCAGAAACCAGGACGGCTTCTGTAAATCTGGGTCTGTCCCTGGAAAATATGGGCCCTTGGAGGGTCTGCATTCTGACATGAGGAGAGGTGCAAAGAGCATATCTCTGGGGCAAACATGGCGGTAGCTGAGGTAGTACAAGTCCCCCCACCCCACTTGATGGGGATAGCTGATGAGGGGGGCACTCACACACCATTGCGTGGTCCTCTTTTTTCTGCTCTTTTAGGTGTGACAGCCATTTGATGTTATGTTACATACCCCACAATGGGCATTTTGCATTGTATTACATCCCCATGGCAGCCATTTTGTGACTGGTACCCATTCTTAAAATTCCCAAAGGCCCCAACAGGCCCCCCAAGAGTGGTGACCCTTTACCCAGCTGAATGCATTGCACTTCACAGGTCAGCTACATGCATAACTGCATTTTTTAAAAAGTATTTGTACTCCTTTTCTTCCACAGGATTTGCTCTTGAGAAATGTCACTGGGGAAGCTGCCTTAAATCAACAACAGTTCTTACACACCAGCAGGCGTGACTTCTCTGCGCTGGTAATATGAGACTTTGCCTGTATCTATGAAAATGACGCCTGGAAACGTAAGCTAAGAACAACTCCTGCTTTATATATAGAAACTGTTTTATTTGTAGACCAGACCCAGAATAAATAGTGAGGTAATTTTTAAGAGGAACCCAGAGCTGTAGTCTGTTAATGTTAACCAAACAATGGAACACAGTTTTGCCTCTTGATTTCTGGAAGACATTCATTATTGGAAGACTAGTAGCCTCTTGTTGAAGGCAGCACATTTTGCATTTATAGCATGAGTCACAATACTTTCTCTTTGAGGTTCTTCCAGAACACTTTCTGCATCCTGATCCTATGCAGTGGGAAGGAAGCCCCACTGAGTCCAACAGGGCTTACTCAAAAGAAAGTGTTCTTAAGCGGGACCTGCAAGAACATGTTGCAGCATGAGGTTCCTGTTCAGGAGTTTGAGAGAAGCCAACCATGTCCTTTTACAGGAAACTCCATTCCATTTCCCCTCCTCAATTAATTTTGAAACGAACGAACAAACATACATAAGGGGGAGAAATAAAGAAACAAACAGAACAAGAGCTCTTCTGGAGCTCACCAAAGGTGAGGATAACTTGGGGACTGGGAAGACCTTGAGAATTTCTGTGGTATGTATTAAAAAGAGGAGGCCTATAGAATAATGCAGCTGCTGTGCAAACCAATCCAAAAGCTTAGCTGTCAACTTCTCCCTTTTCTTGCGAGGAATCCTATTCAGAATAAGGGAATTTCCCTTTAAAAAAGGGGAAAGTTGACAGCTATGCAAAAGTAATGTTTGGAATCCTACAGCACACTGTGTGTGTGTGTGTCATTATTTAGACCATCTATTATGCAAGTTGAAGTGGATCATTCTTTTCCATTGAAAAGCTGATCTTGTGCTTAAACGCTCCTCTCTTCAGACCTGTGGATTTGCAGATGCAGGTCCCTACAGTGGGATGCTTCCTCCCCTCCTCTCCTTTTTTCCCCTTTGGCCTTTGGGATGTGCCAACTCCTATTATTAGTCTTTGTTGGCCCTGCCCATTTGTCATGGTTCTATACCAGCTGAAGCGGGAGAAAAGGGGAGGGCAATAAATAAGCAGCCCCCATTTGAACAGGACTAGTGTATCACTGCTTCCAAGTGCTGTCCTCCTGCCTTCATTCAGTGTACAGAGGGTAGGTACATCTTCAAGATGCTGTGTTGTTCCTAACTATTAAGAAGAAACAAGAACTGTGTTATGAGTTAGATTAATGGTCTCAGTTTTGTTTTTAGTGTGCTATTGCAATATTTAGCAAGGCTCTGTGGGCTGGTGGGAGCACGACACACACTCGGTGGGAGCTTTAAATAGAAGGGGACGACTAGGATTCTGAACAATCCTCCTACTAGAGAGTCAAATTTAACAGGGGCTAGCCTTGAGATCTTTGTATTACAAGGACCATGATCTGGTTAAAGAAGGGTGGGGAAGCTGTGCTTCCCCAGCTGCTGTTAGACTGCATCTCTCTCATCCCTGAACAAGATGGCTGGGGCTGATGGGAGCTGGGAGTCCAATTTCATATCTGAGAGTCCAATAGCATGTCTGACTTTTGAGATCTTGGTGGAGGAATGAATCCCTAGGAGTTCTAGTTGATTCTGCATGCATTAGCGTACACACAGACAAATGGTTCTAAAGGGCAAGAAGTGTTCTCAGTGGTCAAACCCTAGTCATAGAAGTCTTTGATCTCATAAAGTTTGACGGATCCCATCTCTTTATGTGCCTTGTTGTTGTTGTTGTTTAGTCATTTAGTCGTGTCTGACTCTTCGTGACCCCATGGACCAGAGCACACCAGGCACTCCTGTCTTCCACTGCCTCCCGCAGTTTGGTCAAACTCATGTTGGTAGCTTCGAGAACACTGTCCAACCATCTCGTCCTCTGTCATCCCCTTCTCCTTCTGCCCTCCAACTTTCCCAACATCAGGGCCTTTTCCAGGGAGTCTTCTCTTCTCATGAGGTGGCCAAAGTATTAGAACCTCAGCTTCAGGATCTGTCCTTCCAGTGAGCACTCAGGGCTGATTTCCTTAAGAATGGAGAGGTTTGATCTTCTTGCAGTTCATGGGACTCTCAAGAGTCTCCTCCAGCACCATAATTCAAAAGCATCAATTCTTCGGCAATCAGCCTTCTTTATGGTCCAGCTCTCACTTCCATACATCACTACCGGTGATGTGCCTTACTGGATAGCAAATACTTTTTTTGTAGGGCGACAAGCTTTTGTTTTGTTTTTTGTATCTCCTGTTGGAGCTTTTTAAAAATGTAAGTTGCCCTGCATGGTATCATCTTAAGTCGGAAGGGGCGTTTCCCATTCTCTTAAATGCAGGAGAGCGTAAGATCAATTAAAAGCGTTGTAGCACATTAAAATCAAGACAAATTTATCATGGCACTTCATCAAATGCACGAGGTGTTGCACATGGGCTCTAGGTGCTGTGCCCCTGCTCACATTTCTCCCCAGCTCCACCAACCTCCACCTCCCAGTACCCCAAACCCCACCACTTGATTCCCTTAGACAAGGGATCATTTCCACCTTGCAGGCCAGCTTTGACAGGTGGGTTGGGCAACGCACCTGTGAATCACATGGCATCACTGTGATATTACACAATTATCAGGTGGATTGGCCTGCACACCTGTCAAGAGCCTCCTCTTGCCACAGCTGCTCATACCAACACCATTTCTGTCTCAGCAGTCGAGTGCAATGAAGATGCAAGTACAGTGGTGCCTCGCAAGACGAAATTAATTTGTTCCGCGAGTTTTTTCGTCTTGCGATTTTTTCGTCTTGCGAAGCACGGTGTCGGAAAAGTTTTGGAAAAGCTTCAAAAATCACCAAAGTCTTCAAAAACCTCAAAAAAGGCTACCACACCGCGTGCTATGAGTTGCTCCTCGAAGTCAAGTCGCAACTGTATTAACGGTTTTAAGAAAAAGGAAACAAACTTGCAAGACGTTTCCGTCTTGCGAAGCAAGCCCATAGGGAAAATCGTCTTGCGAAGCAACTCAAAAAACCAAAAACCCTTTCGTCTTGCGAGTTTTCCGTCTTGCAAGGTACCACTGTAGCAGGCAGTGGCATCAGAACAGGATGGTTATGGGGGAGCTGCTCTGTCTCACCTATTACTCTGCAGCTTACCTGGCCCACTGGCCCACCTGCTTGTCTGCCCACCTCCATCTTCCAGAACAAGAGATTTGGCACTACTTTGCATAAAAGTCACGACCTTTTTCTACAGCAAAATGCTGTTTATTCCCAAGGAAACGGATTTACCGTCAAGGCAGTCATGATGGTGCTATGATTTGGGGCGAGTTAAAATGCAAAACTGCACATGTTCAGGACATTTGCTCCTTTTATATGAAGACAAGGCAGAGAGCATCCTTCTGTTCCTGACCATAGTTACTGAAGATTAATGCAAGTATTTTTTAAAAATAATCCTGTTAAACACAGGGAACTTCAAAAAACAACGAGTCTTGTAGTACCTTAAAAGAGCAACACATTTTATTGTGGTATAAGTTCTGAAAAGGGGAAATCTGTAAATATATACCATTTGGAGGGTATTCAAAATTGTAAGAAATTCGGGGTTATTACAACATAGAATTAAAAATCCACAGAAATATTCGGCTAGGAATAACATGTCCTCTAGCCCCAAGTGGATATCTTTCAACTCCCAAGTTTACATTTTTGTTTGATTTCCACTAAAGCCAAAATATTTCACAGATAATTTAAATGTTTTGACCAGGAGTGCATGTGTGCAGAGTAGGGATGGGGAGTCTGTTTCAATGGGCCCAAGAATTAAATGTTTAATGACTACCACACAGACAATTTTTGCAGACTGGATTGTGGGCTAAAAATAAAGACAACACTCAAAGACGTGTGCTGCTCCTTGTATGTCCCTGCAGTCTTCCAAGAATGAAAGATGGAGAAGCCCCAACTCTTCAGTTCCTAATCAAAATACTAAAAGGCAGGCATGATTCTTACCCAACTTCATTTAGAGGAAGAATGGAAAGATCAGTCAATTCCGGTTCTCTCAGTTTCTAATTTTACAATCTTAAATCCAGTTCTTCACATTTTTGCAACAATGTGTGATTTAAAAACAAAACAAAAAAACAAAAAGCCCTCTTGAAAATCCATCAGCATCTTAGGGCAAATTTCTCCTAATGCATTTGTATGCCATTTTGACTAACATATACATTCCTTGCAAGAATCTTCCCTAATATAATGCATTTTTGTATGTTATTTTCATGAATACATTCATCGTTATGCATACTGTCCCCTGATATTGATATGCAATGTTTTTGGTAAACTTTGCTTGATTGGAGAACTGCATCACGAATTTCAGATAAGTGTGAATTTTGAAGGATGGCTGTGTTTTGGTTCTCATCTTGTTTCAGGATGTGTGAATTAGGTAGCTTTGCCTTTCAGTGCAAAATGGATCAAATTTCTCTTCCATCCCTAGTTCAGATAGGCTTCATATAAAAATAGTATACCTGTCTGAACTTGCCCAGGCCTTAAAACTGGAAATTTCACATTTTGGTATTTGCAATTAAAATTGGAAACTACACATGACCTTAACTGCAGAGTTCTGCACTCCCTAGTTTTCCTCTGACACACACAAACTGCAAATGCAAGACACTTATTCTGGATGAGGATGGGTGCGTGTGTGTGTGTGTGTGTGTGTGTGTGTTAAGGTGGATATAAGCTATTGTTCCTCTTGCAATCCCTAATCAATTGAGGCTCTTTGTTCCTGCAATCTGTAATGCCAAAAATTCCCTTTGAAGCAAATTCAATGAGAATTGATTCTTTGCAACAGAAAAAATCAAATCACAGACCACTGACCAATTGCATCTGGAACAGCTCCTATTTGTTGATTGCTAGCAACATCCTTCCAAAGGAATGCTAGACCAGGCAGACCTCGGTCTGATCTGCAAGGTGCTGGCTAGGTTCTTAACTACGACAGCAGACTTTGGATTGTTTAAACACCAATCAGTAATGCCATAATTGTTAAAGGATTCTGAGATTTGCTTTGTGAATACAAAAGCAGGAGCTGCGGCAAAACACTGCAGGGTGAGTGCTGCTGTTCAGGATTCCAGCCCCACCCACCTGTCAGCTAGCATTCACAGTCCCCCTATTGGGTTGTCTCCCCCCCCCTTTAACCCCCTACATGTTTTTATTACTTCTGCAAGCCTTGAGGCTCTTGCCAAGCCTGCTGATCCTATCCTCTTGTGCATGGGTGATGCAGTTTTGGCTACATAAACCACGGCACCTACAGCCTGAACACCAGAAACAGAGTGACTCATGAAACAGATGGAACAGGAATTCTTGTAAATAAGCAAACAAAGGCAAAGAAGTCAGCCCCCTCCTGTTCTAATCAGTTCCTTGAAGAGAGGAGTAGTTTCTGGAAATGAAACCTAATACCAGTAAGCTTGGAATGTACCCCACACGTTTATGCCTGCAAAAGACGATCAACTCAGACACACGCATTTTAATTCCAAAATATTCATTTATAAAGAGTGATACAGTGTGTCCCATGGTCCTCCAACCCAGAATTTCACCATCATACAAAATTGATTGCTAGCATTTTTTTACCTATTTTTATTCATTAACCTCTAATTATAATTTTAAGACACTTCATTTAAAAGCTTCTAGGCCGATAAGAGCCCCATAAAACTTCCCAAGGCATTGTACCATTTGGAACTAATCATCCCATTCAGAAAATGGGTATGGCAAGGGGAGATCACAGGCGTGAAGTGTTTCACTTCACTGAAATGAAATCCCAGGGTGTGGAAACCTAGTGTGCCAAGGAGAAAGCTATCCTTCTCAATGTGCTAGCTTTCCACTGGCGGGCTGCTTTGGCTATAGGACAGCATACCAACATGTTAACATCTTTACCTGTATTCTGAAGTGGTCTAGTTCCCAGAGGATCACAGCAGATAGCTTTTCTGACTGGGCAGTTCAGCTCTAAGACATGACAGCAATTAGCCAAGGCACTCCAATTTATCACCTCTTGTTTTTCCCTTGAGAAATGGCCTCTGTAAAGGGCAAATGAATGAATTCATAAAGCTGCTTGGCATTGCCGGCATTGCCCAGAAGTTCGGCCAACTTGTCCTGAGAAAGGGTTACGAGTTCTGCAACGCTCTTAATATGATTCATTATGGCCTGGCAGTTTTTGGCATTCACACCGGGCATTTTGAGCAAGAAGTCTTGGGGACCCGGGTTGTATCTGTCCGATTCGGGGAGGCTTTCTGAATCTGCTGTGACAGCCATGGCTGTAGCTGCATCAGGCTGGGGACGCTTCCTTTTCAATTCCTCAAACAATTCAGCCGTCACGTACGGAGAAGGGCACCACAGGAATCGAAGCCGGGAGAAGTGGAGAGTGAGGAGGGTGAGTTTGGATATAATGTCGTTGCTCGAGATTTCTTGATGGAGGGATCCCCGGGGAGTGAGGGAGAAGGATTTGCTGGGGTCAAACTCTATGAGAAGGACGGGGCGCTTGTAATAGCGAGACATGGAGACGCACTGCGTATAAAGTCTCCCGCTGTTCAGGGAGCCAATGAGATCGCTGATGCTCTTGCGCTCCACACAGATGTCGGGGGTGAGGATGTAGTCACCGACTTCCAAGGTCACGGGCTCAATGTCAATGCCGCGACGGTGGATCAAAGACGGAAGCTCGCTACGAAATTCACGCATGTCCACGACAATGCTTTGCGGCACGCCCCTCTCTTCCTGGCCACCTGAACAAAACAAAAGGGATCAGGGAAGAGAGGACATACAGTGGTATCTCGGGTTACATACGCTTCAGGTTACATACGCTTCAGGTTACAGACTCCGCTAACCCAGAAATATTACCTCAGGTTAAGAACTTTGCTTCAGGATGAGAACAGAAATCGTGTGGCGGCAGCAGCAGTTGGCCCCATTAGTTAAAGTGGTGCTTCAGGTTAAGAACAGTTTCAGGTTAAGAACGGACCTCCAGAACGAATTAAGTACTTAACCCGAGGTACCACTGTACTGGTCTTTCTGCTGACAAGCGAGACCCACTGGATCCTAGCTTCCTAGCTGCAGTTCTGTCTCTAAACGGTTTAACAACCTCTAAGCGGTTTAACTATAGGGACGCGGGTGGCGCTGTGGGTAAAAGCCTCAGCGCCTAGGGCTTGCCGATCGAAAGGTCGGCGGTTTGAATCCCTGTGGCGGGGTGCGCTCCCGTTGCTCGGTCCCAGCGCCTGCCAACCTAGCAGTTCGAAAGCACCCCCAGGTGCAAGTAGATAAATAGGGACCGCTTACTGGTGGGAAGGTAAACAGCGTTTCCGTGTGCGGCTCTGGCTTGACAGATGCAGCTTTGTCACGCTGGCCACGTGACCCGGAAGTGTCTCTGGACAGCGCTGGCCCCCGGCCTCTAGAGTGAGATGGGCGCACAACCCCAGAGTCTGTCAAGACTGGCCCGTACGGGCAGGGGTACCTTTACCTTTAAGCGGTTTAACAAGGCTAAAATATTCACATACAATATTGGCTTTCTATATGCTGTAACAGCCCCCCTCCCTTGGGACTTTTTGATGAAAGGCGGCTAAGAAATACAATGTAATAATAATAGGAGTAGAGGCTCCCTCTTGCCAGCCCATCCTTTGTTATTTCCCCCCAAGAATGCCTCAGACACAGCATCATTCCAGGGCATGGGGTGTGTGGTCACCATCCTCCACCTCCCATAAATGAAATAATATGTCTGGAGCATTATGAAGTAAAGAAAACAGCAGCTGGTCTGTTCAGAGGAAAGCTCTGCCATGGTTTGTGATAGCAGCAAAATGATGTTTTTTAGAAACTGAAGGAGGCTGCTACTGTTGGGGTAAGCCCCCCCCCCCATGGTAAATCCCACTACCCCACAAATAAGCAAAATGGTCTCCTTTCACCATTCAGAGCTGTGAAATTCAGAGGCCATTTGAGTTTGCCCCTAAATGATCTGGCAGACCACCATTTGACTACAATAAAAGATCATTACACTGACGATGTCCATGCAAATTCAGCTCAAAAATCTGAAAGGTGTGTTTTAAAATAGTCCCATAGATATCAAGAACTTACCTGCTTTGCGCGTATCAGTGGAAGCAGTCGCTGGGGTTGCATCTCTTACTAGATCCAAGTTTGTTTCATCTCTTCCTTCCCTTTCTTCAGGGATCACCATGCTGGCCTTCTCACTGAAAAACAAAAATTATGAACAGAAATGTTTGAGGCATTTTCCTCAGAATGGATGTGTTAAAATTCTAAAACCTTCCTGCTGCCGAGCTGGAGCAAAAGCTATAGCAGTACCTCTCCCTCCAATCAGTTTAGGGAATTTCCACAAACAGGACATCCCTTTATGTTATTCCCCCAGTGACCGGGGTTCAGAGGCATGGAGATAGTCTACAGGCATCCTGACTAGCAGCCACTAAGCTATCTAAGTTGGCGGCCATCGCTGCATATTGAGGGATCCTATTCCATAGTTTAACTGTGCTTCCACCAACCACGGCAAGACATTGGAGCCCTGGTCCCAGATCTCCAGAAAACATAATAAACACTTGTTCCCGTTTCTGACGTTACACCAGGCAGTGTGGGAAGGAAGGGCAGGATATAATTTAAATTAGTAACAGCAATAACAACAAGAGCAATCCTATATGGTGCAGAGAAGACAGAGCAGCAGATTCCCAACGCAGGCCTGTTAGTTCCTGCCAGACAGGAGGGAAGTGGCTGTGTGTGTGTGTAGCTTATTTTCCTTTTCTGCTCTGCCAGCTCTCAGGCTGGCACAGCACAGGTACCCAGAGTGGAGCCCTCAACAGGAAACATGGTAGTTTTAAGTCCAGTGGCTCCATCACTGGCCTTGGTCCAGCTCCAGAATATTCTGTTTTGGGGTCTTATGCTACTGGCAGTAGCACATGCCCCAATGGCTGAACCCAGGGGAGACTGGCAGAGGGAACCTCTGCTATATTCTATCCCCCAGCAGCAGCACCGACCAGGGATTAGGAGTGCTCTTTAAATAAATAACATAGAACAATAGTCATAACATTTGAGGAGGTTGTTTCAGGGGTATGCTTTGCCATTGTTATTTATTT